AAAAAAAAAAAAAAAGGAGGCCAAACAAAACCCCACAAGACACATTTGGCTATGACCTACGAGTTTGTCAGGCATTTCTTCCAACCTTCCCTCCCTTTGACCAAGAAACAGTGTCCTCTGTTTTAGGCCCTGGGAAATTCAGTAGCGAGCAGGCCAAACAGCTTCATTGCATCATGGGGGGCTCTGGTACTGTGCTTCTCCAACTTCAGGATGTGTAGGAATCACCTGAGCAGTCTTGTTGAGAGGCAGACTCTGACTCGGGAGATCTGGAGTAGGGCCTGAACATTTGCCTTTGTGGTTCTAACAAGCTCTCAGGTGATGGCGATGCTGCTGTTCCCTGGCCCCTCCTTTAAACAGGGCTGCTCCGTAATCTCAAGAGCAGCAGTTATTTGAAGGAGCAGGACTACGGCACTTGCCATGAAGGTATGTTTGGCAAGCACACTTTTACTTAGATTTTAATTCATTTGGGGTGGGTTGGCTGAGAGCTGACAGCATTGGAAGCGAGTGTTAAGGCTCTCCCAAACTACCTGTTGGTGTGCCAGGTCCCTGCTCAGCTTATATTCTAGGTGAGGTGGAGGTGGATGAAAGTCTAAGGAAAAGCTTCCTGGAGGAGGCGCAAGTGAACTGCAGGAGCTTTCCTGGACGCCCAAGAAAGGGAGAAACCCTAAAGAAATTCCTCCCGTCTTGGGGCCGGGTTTCCGCATCCAAGCCGGGTTTGGTTTCCCAGGCTATCCCACGTGTTCGGACGTCCCTGTCAATCAAGTTTTCCCCGGCTGGGTCCGGGTTTAAAGGCGGCTGCGGGGCAGGGCGCTCCCATGGTGCCGCGCGGCGGGCGGGTTTGGATTTTAAATCCCCGCGACCAATCAGTAGCGCGCAGGCTTTTGTAACGTTCCCAGCGCCGCGTTTGAATTCGAGGAGGAGCGGAGCCTCTGCTGGGATCGAGGTCTGCAGAGCAGCTCCGAGAGCATGAGTGCGGCGGTGACTGCGGGAAAGCTGGCACGAGCACCGGCCGACCCTGGGAAAGCCGGGGTCCCAGGAGTTGCAGCTCCCGGAGCTCCGGCGGCGGCTCCACCAGCGAAAGAGATCCCGGAGATCTTAGTGGACCCACGCAGTCGGCGGCGCTATGTGCGGGGCCGCTTTTTGGGCAAGGGCGGCTTTGCCAAGTGCTTCGAGATATCGGACGCGGACACCAAGGAGGTGTTCGCGGGCAAGATTGTGCCTAAGTCTCTGCTGCTCAAGCCGCACCAGAAAGAGAAGATGTCCATGGAAATATCCATTCACCGCAGCCTGGCCCACCAGCACGTCGTAGGATTCCACGGCTTTTTCGAGGACAACGACTTCGTGTTCGTGGTGTTGGAGCTATGCCGCCGGAGGGTGAGTGTCGCTGCTAGGGAACTGGAATTGCCTGCGGGGCAGTTGGAGCGCCTGGACGTGGAGCAGCTGCTGGAAAGAGTGCCCAGGAAGGGAGTGCCTGGGACTTGGAGCTGGTTGAGAAGGGTGCTGGGAGCCTCCCGCTTAGGTATGGAAAGTGTCTTTGGTAAGGGCTTCTTGGCCCTTGGAACTGCTAGAGGGGTGGGTTCCAGTGAAGTGGAGTCTGAGTCAGGTTGCTGACAGGGAAGTCAGCTTCTGAACGCGAGGTGCTGCGGGGAGGGGTGCTGGTAATGGACTCTAGGGCCCTAGAGTGCCCAGGGAGGAGTCCCAAGGTTAGTGAAGCCGCGCACTGGGAGCTTCCGGAGTGGGGTTGGGTCAGTGTGGAGGTAGTTGCAATCCAGACTTCGGGCCTTGCCGGGGAAATAAGAATCAGGAAAGGGATCTGCTGCTGGGCACTCGGAGCTTCCGGAATGGGGCTGAGAGAGGACCCCCAAGTAAGGGAGGAAGCTAATAGGGGAAGGGGTGCTGCGAATGGTTGTGGGCAGCGTTAAAGGAGGGTCCAGATAGCAATTGTCCTGGAGAAGGAATGGGGTGGGGGCTTAGGGAAGGAGAGAAACCCACCAAGACGCCACTTTGATCCCCCAGGAGTCTAGGTCCTGTTCTTCCTTTACCTAGTAACCCTCTCCCTTCCCCACCGGCCTCAGTACCACCTTCCCATCCCTCCTGCCCTCTCCTTCCCACCCACAGTCTCTCCTGGAGCTGCACAAGAGGAGGAAAGCCCTGACTGAGCCTGAGGCCCGATACTACCTGCGGCAGATTGTGCTTGGCTGCCAGTACCTGCACCGAAACCGAGTTATTCACCGAGACCTCAAGCTGGGTAACCTTTTCCTGAATGAAGATCTGGAGGTGAAAATAGGTGAGTTGCTGAGCCTTGCAGGGTGCTTGACATCACTACAAGAGGCTGGAATTTGGAAGAGGCTGGGAGAAAGGATAGGAAGGAGACCAGGAGGAAGGAAGAGGATGGATGATGAGAAGTTTGGGCCATTGATTGCTTCTATAATTCTCTCCTTAGTCCAGAAATGTAAAACAAACACCCACAAGTCAGTATCTTGCCTGCAGACACATTATTGCCCCAATACAGCACTTTTTTTTCCAAAGAATTTGAGTTTGTTTCTGTTTTTTAAAGTGGAAAGCTTGACATAAATTTTTTGATTCAGAGCTCCTTTTAAACAGGTGAAAGCTCCAGTAATACGAGGGCAGCATTTTCTTAGGGCAGCCCATTGCTGGGCTGGAAAGCAGCTGTCCCTCCTGACGTGTTTGCCACAGTCTCTACTCCTCCCTATTACTTCTTCACAGGCTTGCCAAGTCTTGGCGGTTACTTGCTTGATCCTTGAAGGCACTGGAGTTTTGCTAACCTTGTCAGTTCCCATTTTGAAGCATAGCCCCTTTCCAAGGGGTAGGGGTGAGAAGGTTCACTGGAGGCACCTCCCTGGGGTCAGCATGGCAGGAAGATTTCTGGGCAAGGCTTGCGGCATACAAGGAGCAGAGGCTTGTGGGATCAAATGGCTCTGCTTCTTGATGGTCAACCCTTAACTAGCCTTCTGCATTGACAGATGGCAGAGGCTGGCATTTAAGTACCCATTCTTCTTCCCTGTGTCCCAGGGGATTTTGGACTGGCAACCAAAGTCGAGTATGACGGGGAGAGGAAGAAGACCCTGTGCGGGACTCCTAATTACATAGCTCCCGAGGTGCTGAGCAAGAAAGGGCACAGTTTCGAGGTGGATGTGTGGTCCATTGGGTGTATCATGTAAGTTGGGAGTTGTCTCTGGATCTGCCTGGTCTCAGCAGGGGCAACTTTGGGACATCCTATCTGGCTGACCTTTTCTGTGGACCTTTCTGCCTGCTTTACAGAAAGCCTATACTAGGAGACAAGTGACCCCCAAACAAAGCCAAATTGCCATATCTTTCCCTGTCACTGGTGTATCCTATCAGATTTCTGCAGCCTAGGCCGTGGGTACAGAGGAGGAGCAGAAGGAAGAGGGAGGAGGGAGAGTCTCCACAACCTTACTTTAGTCCTGCGCTAGAGTGGTCCACAGGGCAGCATCACCATCATCTGGGAACTTGTATGCAGAATCTCAGGGCTCAGACTACTTACTGGATCAGAATCTGGATTTTTAACAAATCCCTTGGTGATTTCCATGCACAATAAAGTCTTAGAAACACTGATGAGCATGGTGGGAGAAATTAGGCCAGGAGTTACAGATGGCAGGATGAGGTGTCAGTGGTCTGTCTGGATTGAGACCACCAACCGCGATTGGTGGCAGGCAGAGGCTTGGGCCTTTTCAGGTATTATCTTTCTTGTTTTTGGCATAGGTACTAGAGAGTTAGAAATGAGTCATAGCGATGGCTTTCATGTGTCTGCAATGGGTTTTTTTTTTTTTTTTTTTAATGAAAACTTGATGCCTTAAGTACAGAACTGCTAAAGGTGGAGCTGCTTCTGTAAGTGCAGGTAGCCCTTTGACATGTTTTGCAAGGCAGGCAGCCTCCAAGGCCCTTGCACAGAGTCCTAGATGCCCTCAGGCTATAGCTGAAAAATCACTGGCCCTTAAGAAACCTGGTCTCACCACATGTATTCTGCTGACGGCTCTTTCTAGCCAATGTCATGGCTCCTGGGGCTGCACAGTGGACTTGAGGATTGTCTTCAGGGGCCCCAGAGTTAGAGTGAGTGTCCAGAGGATGCCTGGCCTTTGTTCTGACCCTGAGATGATTCCTCTTATGTCTGGGTTGTGGCTGGGAGACTTGTGCCAAATCCTACCTTGTGCTTACAGGTATACCTTGTTAGTGGGCAAACCACCTTTTGAGACTTCTTGCCTAAAAGAGACCTACCTCCGGATCAAGAAGAATGAATACAGTATTCCCAAGGTGACTAATGATGCTTTAATTACATTTAGTTTTCCCCAAACTATTTACGGAGCCCAGCAACATCCTAGGATATAGCTACAGAGCTTGAGAGGGCCTGTGTCTGAAATTGCATACAGAACTTGACATGTGTGTGCACATAAGCATTTCTTGTGTCGGGAGAGAGTTGGCAGATTCTGAAATTGGGTAACCTAAAAATTGTGTTAAAAGCAAAAATCAGAGGGGGTGGGAAGAAGTAAGAGACAGAAGTGCTTCAGATTTGGAAATGGATTGTCTTAATTCAAATGGGTTCTGCCATTGAGCCAGATCACATTGGGCAAATGGCCTGCATCTTTTTTTTCTTTTTGAGGTGGAGTTTTGCTGTTGTTGCCCAGGCTAGAGTGTAGTGGCGTGATCTTGACTCACTGCAACCTCTGCCTCCCAGGTTCAAGCGATTCTTCTGCCTCAGTCTCCCGAGTAGCTGGGATTACAAGCACCTGTGACCTTACCTGGCTGATTTTTTTTTTTTTTTTTTTTTTTTTTTTTGTATTTTTAGTAGAGATGGGGTTTCACCACATTGGCCAGACTGGTCTCACGTGATCAAATTCCTGACCTCACGTGATCCACCTGCCTTAGCCTCCCAAAGTGCTGGGATTACAGGCATGAGTCATGACACCCGGCCTGGCCTGCACCTTCTGAACCACAGTTTCCATCTATAAAGTGGAGTTCCTACCTTGGAGCACCTCACAGAGTGTCTTGCATGTAGTAGGTGCTCACAGAATTAAGAACCACTGTGAATCCCAGGACTTTCCAATGGCATAGCGGTGTGCATGTCCGTTTTTCTTTTTTTGAGATGGAGTCTCACTCATTTTTTTTTAGATGGACTCTCATAGTGGTGTGCATTTTTTTTTATTTTGAAATACAGTCTCACTCGTTGCCCAGGCTGGCATGCAGTGCACTGTAACCTCCGCCTCCCAGGTTCAAGCAATCCTTCTGCCTCAGCCCCACTAGTAACTGGATTACAGGCACCCGCCACCATGCCCAGCTAATTTCTGTAGCTTTGTTAGTAGAGAAATGGTTTTGCCATGTTGACCAGGCTGGTCTCGAACTCCTAATCCACCCACCTAGGCCTCCCAAAGTGCTAAGATAACAGGCGTGAGCCACTGTGCCTGGCCAGTGGTGTGCATTTTTACAACCACCAACAGAAATGCATTTAAGGGGATATCTGGTTCCTGCAGAAGCCTAGTACACAGGCAGTTTGAAGTGTAGTGTCCTCGTGTGAAGCCAAGAGGCCTATCACCATAAGGACAGACACAGTAAATCCATCACAAAGTGTCAGTTCACTGTCAGAGACAGCATGGAATCAAGCCAACTACACCCTCTCTGTGCCTCACTTTCCTCCTGTGCAAAAAAGGGATTCCCACCCCTTAGATGTGTTGGTGAGAGCTAAGGAGCTAAACACAGGAAGGGCTTAGAATGCTTTCCTGGCACATAGTAAGTGCTAGGAAGTGAGTTGGTGCTAGGCCACAGTCCATTGACCCTTCTCAGTGGTGCCCAATAAAGCCGACAGTGGAGAACTTGGCACTGCACCAACTTGTGAGCCACTGACCTGTGGTGTATTTGAGACTGGAAGCTGCGTGTGGGCTAGGGGCCTGTACCCCTTTGTGGCCGTGGTGTATGTGGGGTCGACCTTACATTCTGCTTATGGCCGTCCGTCTCCCTGCCCCAGCACATCAACCCCGTGGCCACCTCCCTCATCCAGAAGATGCTTCAGACAGATCCCACTGCCCGCCCAACCATTAACGAGCTGCTTAACGACGAGTTCTTTACTTCTGGCTACATCCCTGTCCGTCTCCCCATCACCTGTCTGACCATTCCACCGAGGTTTTCAATCGCTCCCAGCAGCCTGGACTCCAGCAACCGGAAGCCCCTCACAGTCCTCAATAAAGGTACAACAAGGGTTTGGGTAAGAGAGCAGACCCCCTAGAGAAAGCCCAGGTTGTAGGGTTTTGTGCAGCTTACTCCCTGGCCCTGAGAGCTCAGGTGTGGAGTAGGACAGGCCTTTATCCTTAAATCCATGGTTACAGTGCCCATCTGCTCCTTGGCCCTGCCAGGAAAGACCGACCTTACCATGGCTGGATAAACCTACCATACCCAAGAAGAAGAAAATGGACTGAATGCCAAGCCTGAAAAATTCTTTCCAATCACTTTAATTAATTAATTTTTTGGATACAGGGTCTCCTCTGTTGCTCAGGCTGGAGTGCAGTGGCATAGTCACAGCTCACTGCAGTCTTAAACTTTAAGGCTCAGTTGGTCCTCCCAGCTCAGCCTCCCAAGTAGCTGGAGTGTCAGGCTTACGCCACCATGCCTGGCGAATTTTTCTACTTTTTGTAGAGACAGTGTTTTGCCATGTTGCCCAGGCAGGTCTTGAAACTCCTGGACTCAAGCGATCCTTCTACCTCCGCCTCCCAGTGTTGGGATTACAGGCATGAGCTGCTATTAAAAATATTTCTAACACTTTTACATGGTTCATTGAAAAAAATTTCCGTTTTTTTTTTTTGGAGACAGGGTCTGGCTCTGTCCCCCAGGCTGGAGTGCAGCAGTGTGATCTCAACTCACTGCAGCTTCTGCTTCCCAGGCTCAAGCCATCCTCCCATCTCAGCCTCTCAAGTAGCTGGGACTACAAACATGTGCCACCATGCCCGGCTAATTTTTTGTATTTTTAATAGAGACAGGGTTTTGTCACGTTGCCCAGGCTTTTCTTGAACTCCTGAGCTCAAGTAATCTGCCCGCCTCGGCCTCCTAACATGCCGGGATTACAGGTGTGAGCCACTGGCCCAGCCAGCGTGAAAATTTTCAAGTACACATAGAGAGCATAATGTAATAGATCCCCTCATACTTAACAGATTCAGTAATTAGTTATCAGGATTTTGTCAAGTTTGCTTCATTTATTTATTTTTGTTCCTTTGAAGTATTTTTTAAAGTTAACCTTGGCTCTCTGACATTTTACACCTATATAAACTTCAGAATGCTTCTCTTAAAAAAGATGTACATTTTCTTAAAAATCAAAAAACCACATGCAATTGCTTAGGTTGTCATTGCTTCTTTAGAGCACATGTGCCTGTCACCTGAGCATGGCAGCTCCTACTCTATTGACCAGGCACTGACTCAGTTTCCCCTAAGCAGTGGTCTCTTCAGAGAACAGAACTAGGAACTGCATTTGTAGCAGTGGGGGAAGACTGACATTGAGTCTGTGATGATATTTCCTAACCACACATTTTTAAACAATTTATTTTGATATTATTGCAAGCTTATGAAAAAGGTAGCATAGATCAAAAACACACTCCTATTCTCCCCTTTTGGCCAGATTCACCAGTTAGCACTTTTTTCCACATTTGTTTTATCAATTACTCTTTTTTCTGAACATTCAAAAGTTATATACGTCCTACACTTCACCCTTAGTGCTTCAGTGTATGCTTCCTAAAAACAGATTCTTTTACCTAACGATAGTACATGGCACGGTTCCCAAGTTCAGGAAATTTAACATTGATACGCATTGTCTTATAGTGATCTTCTCTACTGGGGAGTTACTGCTTTTGGTAATTTTTAAGTGTCTGATTTAGACACGATGTTAATTTGTTTTTACTTCTTTGGCTTATACTTGTATTTCTCTTAAACTGAAAATCTTGCTTCCTTACATTAATATACTTACAATTTTCAACATATATGAGTTCCTGTTAAATATTTATTTTCTTGCAATTCTAATTGTCCTTAAAGTATATTTCACTAAGGATATATAGTTTTTAAAAGTCACTTAAAATACTTTTTTTCGCCGGGCGCGGTGGCTCAAGCCTGTAATCCCAGCACTTTGGGAGGCCGAGGCGGGTGGATCACGAGGTCAAGAGATCGAGACCATCCAGGTCAACATGGTGAAACCCCGTCTCTACTAAAAAAAATACAAAAAATTAGCTGGGCATGGTGGCACGTGCCTGTAATCCCAGCTACTCAGGAGGCTGAGG